GCTGAAAACACTTGAACTGGTAGCCAAATGCGTTTGGGGTCTGCCTATTGCTAGAGCCACTCAACCTGTCTGAACCTCCAGCTATCACCACCCCCACCTCTTCCTCTGGCTGCAGCTGGAGGATCTTATTTAAAATTTAAGGATACCCTCCTCCCTCCCTCCCCCCCCAGTGACTGGGTAGAGAACATGGAGCCTGCAGGATTCCTGAGATCTCACCCTCTACTGGCACTCAAAACTTCTTTTGGGGGATCTCCCTGAGTGTTCTCCTGGATAGGGAATCTGTGGGAATGTCCTGGAGCCTCACCAAGTGCTGACCCCAAAGCCCATGCAAGAAACCTCCCCTCTTTTTCCCTGATAGATTTTTCCCATCTTGTCAGGAGGAGAGGAAGGGGAAGGGTGCAGAGATAGTAGCAATGTTTGGTCAGTGCTCACAAATTCATTCCTACAGTGTCTTTGAAAGTTTGTTCACGGACATTTCTTTTTAAAAATATTTTAAATACACGTGGAATCCTTTTAAATAAATGTTATCGTTTCCTTGATTTGCTTGTGGCCCCTCTTTCCTAAATACAATGAACAGAAGATGTTTTCAGCTTTGGAATTAGGCCCCACAATACGCAGCACATGAAATTGAATGATTTATTGCTTTCTGTTGCCAAGATACTGCAAATGCTTTTCTGTCTGTCCCAAACCCTCAGAAAGCACTAGGGGTGAAAGGAGTCAGAAAGTGTACTACGGGGTTTACAATAGGGATGTCAACTTGTAGTTGACTATATGATTAACCAGTAAGCCTAGGCTTATCGTTTAATCTTCTCAACTACATGCATTTCCACCACCCCCCTTACTGCCTCTGATATAGAGGCAGCAAGGGGCAGGGAGCTGGTGCTGGGGGGAGCTGGCTAAAAAGCTGGTTTTCCCCCCCATCACTGGCTCTGCGGTGCTGCCTCCCCCATCCCCGCGCTGCTGCCCCTATCAGAGGCAGTGGTGTGGTGGAGCAGGAGAGGCTTCCGTGAAGCAGCCTCTGTCCATGGGCGGCGGGCGGTCCAAGCTCCCTGTGGCCAAAGGCTACTTCATGACAGCAGCCTCTGTCTGTGGGGAGCTCAGCTGCCCTTCTTTCCCCTCCCCCCAGACAGAGGCTGCTGCCACCTTGAACTGCTGCCTCTGATACAGTGGCAGCAGTGCAGGGTGGCAGGCACTGGCCTGAGCAGGGAGTTGGTTTTCAAACTGGCTTCTCCCGCAGACCGGCTCCTGCCTGGCACTTCATGCTGCTGCCTCTGATACAGAAACAGCAGCATAGGGTGGCAGCAGCCTCTGTCTGCAGGGGGGAGAGGGAGGAGAACCCGCCCCAGTGGCTATCGAATAGTCATGTAACCACCAAGATTTAATGTGGTTACGCAGCTGTTCGGTTACCTGCTATCGAACATCCCTAGTTTTACAACACAGTAGAATTCTGCAACAGAAGAAAAGAGGTAGATGAATGACTTTATGGCTTGGTTCACATGCACAAATCAAAATTTCGTAATAATGCAGCAATGACAGCATCTGCCATAAACAACTTCACCCTTCACTTCTGAAAACCTTGACCAGTTGCTGTCATTAGCCTCACTGACAGCAAACTACAAAAAGAATGGCTATGTCCTCCATTCCTGGGGAATGTTGATAAGGTCTTTAACAGAGACAGAAATTTGTAAACAAATGTGAATTGTGCCATGTCCTCACTATGTCTGCATTGCAATTAGGCCATACGACAGTGCAACCCAACCCTAAGGTGATAAGCCAGCGGACATGTGTGGTCAACGTCACAGGAAGGAGTAGCTAAATGACTGGCAACAGGGGAACAAAATCCTCACAAAGTTATGTAGCCCTATACGTATGTACTAATGGTCTCTCAGGTGCTTGTCTAGCAGCTATGTAGGGTTTGAGGATGTGTCGTGAGTCTGCACTTGTAGTTTATGCGAATTTCTCCCCTTTATTTAAGCATACATTTTCCCACACCCAGTCGCCGTCTAGTTCAGAGGCAAAATGCAGGTAGATTGCCCTGGGGCCAGCCAACCGCTCCGGCTGGGTCTTGAGGATCGCCTTTGGATGGCGGAAAGGGGGGCCTGGGCCCAGGCCTACCCCCTCTCCCGGGCCAGGGCCCTAACGCAAGGAGCTAAGCTCCCTACTGTAGCAAACGGGGGTGTTGTCCCTAAACACATTTGCTCACGGGCCCCACAATCCCGCCCTGGGCCACTGCTCAACTCCACCGCCCAGGCTCAGATCGCGGGTGCAGTATGCGCTCACTGCACCCCTGCTCCCGAGTTCCCCTGCACCTGTTCTTCCCCGCACCTCTCTTCCTGTGCCTCCATCTCCCTCTTTTCCTGTCCGGGCGTCCTTCTTTTATCTCTGCCTCTGGGCTCGGCAGATAAAGTCACCCACCTCCCTGGCCTTACCCCCTCCTCCATTGGCATCTCTGGGCGCCCGACTGACGTCACACGCCCAGAGGGCGTGACGACATCCTCCTGCGCCAGGCCTGTGGCTGCGTGCGGGGCCCGCGTTCCCCGCATGGTCCCTTCCCTGTCCGGTGCCTTCAAGGCTGGCCCTGCCGCTTCCCACATAGCGCAGGTGCCAGCGTCTTCGCCCCCCTGGGCTTCCCTCGGCCTGGGGCAGTGGCGGGGGGGGGTCTTTAGAAGAAGTAGATATCATCCTGTGCTTCCCTTTGTGATCCCACCTTTCAGTGCCAGTTCTTCATTTTTCTCTGTGCAAGATGTGTGTGCATATGGCATCCCCTAATTTCCCTTGGCTACTGGAGACCAGGACCGGTGTGCACATGCATAGGATCCACCTACCTGTGCAGAGTTTGTAAACCAGATTTGTCCTATGCCAACTCAGAACGGAAACACTCCTTTTCTCCTTCACAAATGCTGCATAACGCACAGCATGCAATGGTATTAGTCACATTGATATCCAGACGGGTGAATAGTCATGAGATTTGAGTCTACCACACATAGGCCACAATCATCTGCAGCTACTGAGTTTGTAATTGAGTTTTCTTTTTCCAAAGTCACTGATATTGAGATATGGTTTCATGAGCCAAGTTAGGAACAGGTAGGTGGGGTTCCCCAAAATCCCAACTGGTACAGACAGACCATCCAGAGCTATATCAGTTCTGGGGAATAAAATCTCTTCTTCCAGTACAATCTCCTCAGCACTCTGGTGTCATGAACCTTTCCAGTGCTTGTATTCATGAATCTGCCTTTGTGGCCCACCAACCTTTGCAGAATGAGTCAATAGTGACCTTTTTAGTTCACATACTCATCCCTCTTGGTAAGCAAAGTATTGGGATATGGGTGTCAGTGATGGCCTCTACAGAGTTTGGAAACCCCATCCTCTGAAATCCAATTATTCTTTCTGGAACTTTTTTTTATGGTAAACCATGTTACTTGTCTCTCAGACCTGCACAGCCCCAACCCCAACTGTGGATCTTCCAATCCAAGTTAATTTGAAGTGGATCTGGGGCTGGCTGGTGTTACCACTTTCACTGTTGAATAGCCACCGTCTTCTGCACCAAAATGGCTTCCCTGATTAAAGTGTCCTGGCACTGGAAGTTTGGTGCATGCTTTTGATGCGGCTCCATGAAGGTTTGTTTCCTCATTCAGAAGTATCAAAACCACTGCTGGCCATCTCTGTTTTCCAAAATGATGCAACATTTTGGTGGTGGTTCATCACCAGTGGTGACCGTATACTCAAGAGCATACAGTAGTCATATCAGTATTTACCATATTTGTACTATGTGAGCGGAATGATCCCGAGGGTCAGCCATTTTCAACGTTTCAAAGTTCTGCTCAAATTCCATGGAGTATTTTACTGAGACTCTATTCCACTGAATAAATGTTTGTCCCACAAGGAGGGGCAGGTGCAGAATGAGAGCCAGATCACTCCATTTCTCAAAGTCATCGTCTGGTTAGGCTGGAATAACAGTGAGGGGGGTGACATGATCACAAACTGCCATTGGCAAATGTGTGAAGGTGGGGAATGGTATCAACACCACCCAGTAAATTGGTTCCTAGAGTGTTTCCTTGGTCTGTATAGAACCCTGGAACTCCATCCCTGAATTGGTAGTGCAGACAGCTGCAGCGGTGTGGGTGTATACATGGACATTGGAGTTTGTTCATGACCAGCACAGCATAATGTCTATGTTTCAGCACGGTGTGGGGAGTATATATGAACGTGTATACATTACCTAAGTATAAAAACATCTCCATTATGTTGGGAACCCAAGACTAAATTCAGGCTGGAAGGAGTAAATAGAAAGGGAAGCATGATCAGCAAAAATATTCCTTACGGTCTCCAAAGGAGTGCTTAATTTGATTAATACACGTTTTGACAAGCTCCCTTGAAAATCTGCTTTTCTGCCTTTTTTTAATGTAATTTTGCCAATAGCTAATCTTTAGTGTGGCTTTTTAGGTATACAGAGTTGAGATGTTTATGCTTGAGAAATAACTGTGGAGCCTTGTATTTCATTTCTCTTCTTCATGTTTTGCACTAGAAGCTGAACTCTGCAGTTAATTCATTGGGTTCACATTGTAATTATGAACTCCTGAGAATCTCAGTGTTAATTCTGGAGTCTACATTATAACTTTAGATTCAGGAAAAACTTTATAATGGAAGAACTTGTGAGTCCATTACAAGATTGCTTTGATGGCATTAAAAAGGTTAAACTGATTTTGGTGCAAGTCTTCAGAGATTCTTTCGGTCCATTCTACGCACAGTGTTTGTACCAATTTAACCATTTTGATTAGTAGTATTAGTTTTTATACCAGTACAACCCCGGTGTGGATGGCAGTTATACTACTATTATAGCTTAATTCCCCTTCCCATATGAGAATAGCTAAACTAATAAAAAAGCACCTTTATACAGGTGTAACTGTGTTCTGTGCTAGGTGGGCTCTTCTGTTTAAATTATACTAGTATTATTAAAGTGTATAACTTTTGTATATACAAGTCCTCAGTCTTAGTGTTATGATGCAACATTTCTGCTATACAGTGTTGTACAAGTAAACTTAAACCCTGTGCTGATGCAATGAAAATGTCAAATGAAGATTTTTAACTGGCATATTGCCCATTTATAAAGACCCTGCCATTTAACTGCTGTTGTAGCAGTAACATAATAAGTTACTATATTGTGAACTGGAGTTTGAGACACTTTCTCTCTGGCTTCTTTGCATTCTTCTTGTTCTTTAATTAACATTCCAGCTAATTTGAGAATGGCGTTAATTGGTTTTGGCCGAAACAGCATCGAGCCCTTCTCAGCAAAAAGATGGTTAGCTAGGTGAGCAGATGTAAGATATCGAACTATACTAAAATGTATTATGGGGGTGGAGACTTCTGAAATGCCTATTAGAAAAGAAAACCTCCAATAATTCCCCCAAGTCCAGGGAATTCTCAGTTCTGAGTCATAAGTATAAAAGCTAGCTGTAATATTATTGTAACAATCAGGATGTATTGCAGTACTTAGGCTCTAGTGTAGAAGTTACTGTGGGAGACTTATGCTTTGAATTTCCTGTTATTTGTCATTCATTCCTTTTAATTACACGGTGTTATTTAGAAACAATATATCTCTTTTGTTTTCTAAACAGAATGCTTCCAAGCTTTGATGCTGGCCAACAGAGCTGACGTAAGCAATCTCTTAGCATTGAAAAATGGTATGTGTACATCTCAACTCCATTTATTCTGCACTCTCCGGTATTTTATCATGTTGATTTAATCAAATGGAACACAAAGTTAAATAAAATAGGCCTGAAAAACTTGCTACTATTGAATGTAGGCCAACTGTAGCATTAGTCTAATCAGGCCCCTTATTTTGTGTTTTCTTTTATTTGGATTTCACAATTGTAGTATGTAGGTACAGTTCCCTTCAAGAGAAAAACTGACATCTTAAATGAGAATTGTGTTTTCTGGTACAGCAATTAGGGAAGGAAGAAGGGTAGAGATCAAGATGTATTTCCTGGTCAAGCCATAAAACCTGTGTGGATAGATGTGAGGGACTTATTTCTTTCAAAAGTATACAAAGGATTTTGAAAGTGGAGCTGGGAATTCATAATGGAAATGACTAAATGTTTTGTTGTTGGCTTATCGTGTTAGTAATTCCTAAAACAGTAGAAGAGGAAGAGCTTTCTGCATACAGTAACACACTGAAAAGTAACTTATTCATGGCCTGATTCTACCTGCTCGAGTTTCCCACTGATGTTAAGTGAAGGTTGCGGGATCAGTGTGTTAAATCGCAAAAGGCATCAAATCTCACCATGTCTACTGTACAGATCTTACATCAGTGCAGCTGTTCTGTTGCAGCTTCTTCTTTCTAAGGTCTTCTGTGTAGCCACTCTATACCGATGGGAGAGAGCTGGCATGCTTAAACTGGCATGCTTAAACTACCACCAATGAACAGTGGTACCTATGTCACTGGGAGAGCACCTGGTGCCACTCTCCACACCAATGCTTTTGACGGAGAAACTTTTAAGTGGGGTATGAAAAAAACACTCCTCTAATGCGTTTTATTGAGAAAAGTTTTAGTGTAGACATCACCACGATCTTGTATTAGCACCTGAATTAAAAGAATGCAGTTTGCTTGTTTTAGGTCCAAAATGTGAATTCTCTTTATTCTAGGTGGAATATCTCTTGGATTATACATTGTCAATTGTGTTTAAAAATGTGAGCCAGTTACTCTATACCACTGTAGAAGTGATGAAATCCAGCTTTTGTCAAACAGAAATTCTAAACATCAGACTTCTCTCTCCTCCTACCCACTGCCCTATACTTTTCTATTTCTGTAAGGCCTCACAAAAAATGTTGTGATTTGCCTTCAAGGAGGAAGCACTTGTTGACCAGTCCTATTTTCAGTACTGACAATATCAATGTCCCAGCTTGGTAGGTCTTACATTACTGTTTTAATTGAGTGTGATGCAGGTGTATAGGGCTTACAGTTACTGCATATTATTTGTTTTTTCCCTTTAAATGAAACTTTTGTGTAAGATTCCTCTAAATTTGATGTTTTAGTTCATTGTCTTTTTAATCTGTCAGTTAATTCTATTTAAATCATGGTATTGCCTGATATGGTATAGGAACAATTAATAAATCCAGCTTGTGTATGTTAATTAACACTCTGGAGTATTTCAGTAAATTAATAAATAATTTATTGTGATTAGGCAGTCAGTGTCTCAACATAAAAACAGAGCCAAACTATGTGCTGATTTGCACCCTGTAAAACTACACACTACACTGGAATTGCATAATATGCAAGTCAGTTCACAGCGTAGCTCAAACTGTACAAACTCTGGGTTATGTTTATGTCAGCCTTTAGTAAACAAATTTCTGTTGCTATGCATGTACATGTTCTATATATGAATTTCCAGAGCTGCAGTTTGCTCAAACTTAGAAGATTTAGGGCAGATACAATTCATCATTCTGATCCTTGTTGGGGGGGAGATGAAGATAAGTGGTGGTAGCCCATTCTCTGAACATTTATCAGAGTCCTACAGGTGGCACACCAAAATCTTTTTTACTGGGGATTTTCTCTTTAAGGTTTTTCTAAGTTCTGCATTGTAGTTTGTGTTTATTAAACACTTTCATTAGCACACTATCTCTTTCTTTTGGCTAGAATAATTCACAACAATGAAACAAAATACAGGACTATGTAGCACTTTAAAGACTAACAAGATGGTTTATTAGATGATGAGCTTTCGTGGGCCAGACCCACGAAAGCTCGTCATCTAATAAACCATCTTGTTAGTCTTTAAAGTGCTACATAGTCCTGTATTTTGTTTCATTGTTGCAATGAAGCGCCTTTTAACATATTTTGGAATCTGATAATGCGGAAACTTGTAAATGTAATTATAAAAATGTAATGTGGATTGCTGCAGTCTTTGTATTTTAATTTTAAAGTAAATGAGGTGACGACTAAAGATGGGATGCTGAGAAGCAAGCCTAAATTACAGCATTCTATATCGGATGAAAGTACAACAGGTTTTCCTTTGTGAGTATACAGGTTACATTTTATTCCTGTTTACTGTAGCCCATTCTTTTAAATATTCTTTGTCTTGCACAATAGACTTTGGAGCTAACACTATGAAATTAACTATTTAAATGCAATTTTTAATCATAGTTATGGCAAACTCCTGGGATTTTATAACCTCTCCTGTATGTAAGACTTGAATGCTCTCCAAGTTACAAGATAAGGGTGTGTGTTTGCCTATAGCAAGAGACGGGATAGAGGGATTAAATTTTTGCTGTATATGAAGGTGTGAGGTTAAAGCCTTGGATAATGAAGGTGCTGGTCTGGAACTCAAGAAATTTGATTTCAGTCCCAACTCTGACACAGACTGTGCAAGTCCTTGGGCCAGTCATTAAGCTCTGTATAGTGCAGCTGCTGTTCTGGAAAATGGGATTTATAGTTTTTCCTTTGTCTTCGTTATCTATTTAGAGGAGAAGGGGGCAAACTACAGCCCATGGGTTGTATCTGGCCCATCAGATGTTTTAATCTGGCCCTCAAGCATCCACTGGGGATTAGAGTCTGGGGTTTGCCTTGTTTTGCGCAGCTCCCAGAAACAGATGCATGCCCTCCTTCTGACCAGCTCCTACACATAGATACAACTGGGGGCTCTGTGCACTGCCCTTGCCTCAAGCACCATCCTCACAGCTCCCATTGACTGGGAACAATGGCCAATGGGAGCTGTAGACGTGGCACCTGTGGATGGGTGGGAGAGGGGGAGAACAGCTCACAGGGCTACCTGGCTTCCCCTGTGCGTAGGAGCCAGCCAGAAGAGACATGCTGTTGCTTCTAGGAACTATTTAAGGAGGTTAGCACAGCCTGGAGTTTGCACCTCAGCCCCCTGCAGTAGCCCATACCCTTCCCCCCTCTGTTTTCCAGGCCCCTTGGTCCCAGTCGGGAACCTTCTCCTGTACCCCAAATCCTTCGTTCTGAGTTCCACCCCAGAGTCCCCATCTCTAGCTGGAGCCCTCAGCCCTCCCCCACACCCATACTCAAACCCACTGCCCCAGCCCAGAACTCCTTCCCACACCCTGAAATCCTCATTTCTGTCCCTAACCCAGAGCTCACACCCCCAAGCTAGAGCCCTCAACTCCTCCAGTACCCTAAACTCAATTTTGTGAGCATTCATGGCCCTCCATACAATGTCCATATCATGATGTGGCCCTTGGGCCAAAAAGTTGCCCACCCCTGAGGTACTGTAAGCTCTTTGTGATAAAAGCAGTGTATCAGGTGCCCAGCTCAAAGAGGCCTCGATTGCCACCAAAGCTTCATGGCACTAGCTTAATACAAATAATGATCCACTGAAACCTTGAACCTCCTGATTGTGACCAAGAGTTATTTTCTCCCCCTCACGAAGAATGTTGAATAATTAAAATATTGAATATTTTATTGGTAACATATGGCACAGTTCATTATTATTATTATTATTATTATTATTATTTTATTTTGTGATTCTTAACAGGAAAATGGAGGTGAAAGAAAAATCACTGTCAGGAAGTGAAACAAGGGAGTTACCATGTAGTGAAACAAGGGAGTTACCATCAAAGCTATGTTACCAGAATCACGACTGTTCTAATATATGTCTTGCCAACAGACCACTGACCTCATACAAGGGGGAAAACCCTCTTAAAATACCAATCCTGTGTCATTTCCAGAGACGACATGCAAAAGCAGACTCGCTTTCAAAGTCACTTGATGTGAATTATAAGGCGCCTTGTGGGAAGAGTCTGAGAAACTTTCAAGATGTGCAAAATTACTTGTTTGAAACAGAGTGTAACTACTTATTTGTCGATCACTTTTCTTTCAACACATATGTACAGCTGGGCAGAAACACTCTGAACCGAGAAGCACTTGTATTTGATTTTGATATCAGCAATGGAGCTGAGTCTGTGCCCATTTCCTTCTGTAATGAAGTTGACCACACAAGATTACCCTATTTTAAGTACAGGAAGGCCTCATGGCCACGTGGGTACTATCTGAACAACCTTTCCAGCATGTTTCTTGACTCATGCAACTGTACAGATGGCTGCACAGATAGGTAAGTAGAAAAAGTTAACCTTTAACTAAAGACCAGTCATTCAGGTCCCCTGAATAACATAAAAAGAAACTGTTAAACTTACTGTGTCCATCTAGGGATACAATACTTTTGTCTGATAATACACAGGGTAACAAGCCTATGATGGCCCAAATTAAAGCTCTAGCTTTATGCGGGGCAGCAGATCTGTTGCATGCTCCACCCATTCCCTTGCAGGCTCTTTTTCTAGAGGAGTTGACTCTCTCTAGTTATGTAGGGAGTGGGGTCAGAGCCAGGCCAGGCATTCACAACAAATCTTTGCGGCTATAATAGTGTAAGATGACAGTCAGTGTTGTCTTCTGTTGCTCCACAAGCTGCATTGTGAATGCTAGTCATTTTCTGGTGGAGGGAGGGAGATGGTGAAGCCATGGTAGGCACAGCTGCCATGGTAGTACAGATATTGTTCAGATTTAATCATATCCTTATTTGCCCTTCTAGGTCAAAATGTGCATGCCTGCGTCTAACTGCAAAAGGCTGCAGTGAAAATTCTGCCTCACCAAGTAACAGAGCAGCTTATGGTTACAGATATAAACGATTGGATGGACCTGTCCCCAGTGGGTAAGGCACCTAGAATTTACACTGGTATTATAACCACATACAGTTATACCATTCAAGCCTTGCTTAAACAGTTTTTGGTTTGCCAGCATCTTGGTGGGGGGTGGGATTGATTATAGTGGTTGTATTGCATGATCATGGTGAAATGGGAAAAGTCTTCTTGTTACAAAAGCTACAGCATGGTTTTGTATTACAGGAACTTTTTTTATACTTATCATAGCTTGCAAGTCTAGCAAGGTATATCTCAAAGCACTTTACAAAGGAAATCACTGTCTCCTTACAGACAGAAGAACTAAGGCACAGATGGGTGAAGTGGTTTGTCCAACATCACCAGCAAACTTGTGCCAATGCTAGGAAGAGAGGCTGGGTCTCTTGAGCTCCCGTTCAGTGCAATATCCCTAATGCACTTTGGGTATGTCTCCAACTGCAGTTAAACACCTGTGTGCTGCTTGACTTGGACTAATGGACTCCGGCTCAGAGACTTTTTAATTGTAGTGGTCAGGCTTCATCTGGAGTCTGGGCTCTGGGACCCATCCACCTCATAGGGTCTTAGAACCTGGACTCCAAACCAAGCATGTACACTGGAGTTAGACAGCCTCTTAGTCTGAGTCCCGTGAGCCTGAGTCAGCTGGCATGGGGAAGCTACCTGCAGGCTTTTAACTGCAGTCTAGACATACCCATAGTTCATGGACTGTGGTAACATGGCATTGAATTGGGGAATTGCCAGATCACAGCTGATTCTTGTATGACTCAAGTCATTAAAGCCCTCACTGAAGTTGCTCCAATGTTTTAACAATCATCTGCATCCCAAAATGTCACAAGCTGGGGGTATCTTTTTTCTAAGCAGGTGTCTTGTCTTTTCAGTGAACTGCTCTTTTATTTGCTTTTGCCAGATATGAACAAGTCATATTTTTATTTCATTTTAATTTAATTTAATTTCTTTTTTTTCTGGCAGAATTTATGAATGCAACTTATCATGCAAGTGTGACAGAATAAAGTGTCAGAATAGAGTAGCACAGCATGGCGTCCAGGTGCGGTTGCAGGTGTTCAATACAGAACGGAAGGGCTGGGGTGTCCGCTGCCTAGACGATATTGACAAAGGAACATTTGTTTGCACTTATTCAGGTAACATAAAACAGTATCTGAAAGATTCTAGCACTGTCGTTCTCAAACTGTTCTTTTTGCAGCTCTTCCTACATGTCTGGAAACTGCAGCATTTTCCGGACCAAGCAGTAAACGAGATGTGCTAGGGTTGGGATGGTAGATATATCTATAACAGATATGTTAAAATATGTTTGTTTAAGTAAACAGATAACCACTGAAAATTCAGCTGGTGCACGCGAGGAGACAGCTTTCATGCTGGCTCCCGGTGTGTGCCAGCTCCCACCTGCCCCTACGTGCTGCTGCCTCTCATAGAGAGGCAGCAGTGTAAGGAGGCAGGTGGCTCCCCGGGCCCAGGTGCATGTGAAAAGCCAACTTTTAAGCGGCTCCCTCCATGTACTGGGAGCCTGCGTGTAAATGTGAAGGTTGACTGACTGATGAGCTTAGGCTCATCAGTTAACTGCATACATGGTTAAACTTTCACCTCTCTGATCCATAACATCTGCTTTTCAGTGTGCACCAAAGAATAGAAAAAGCACTAAGGCCACGTCTACACTGCCCTCTCTTGCACAAGAAAATATCCAAATGAGGCAAAGCAGTGAATATCGCCGTGCCTCATTTGCATACTTAATTCACCGCTTTACCTCATTTGCATATTTTCTTGCACAACAGCAAGCAGTGTAGACGTAGCCTACGAGTGTTCCCTTTAAGCCAAGCACTAAAAGTGTTCCCTTTAAGCTGAGTGCTTGGGCAGCTACCCAAGAGAGATTCAAATGCAGCCCAGCTGATTAGCAAAGCATCCATAGCTGGAGCATGTCTTCCTAGTCGTGGTGCACTTCTGCACCTGCTTTAGTGCACATAAAAATTTATCCTACACATGAATGGAAAACATTAGAGGGGACACTGACTAAGACCATTCCAAGGCTAGATTTCTATGACTACTGTCTCAGAGGTACTATCCCGTACATCACAGGTTTGTCTGCTCTGTGCTAGATTCCAAGGCCCTCGCTCTTATGAAAGGAATGGTGTTTGCATTTCACACGCACAAATAATGTCTTGCCCCTGTTAAAAATGTAACTGCAAGGTTGATCAGAGTGAACATGAACTAAACTAGAAACCTGCTTTTCTGATAGGAAGGTTAATGAGCAGAGCTGATCCTCAGGAAATGAGAAATGTCGATCGTGAGGATGAAAAGGATACTGTAAATAACAAAAGTCCCAGCTCACTTTCAATAAAGAGAAAACTGGATGCTGCTTGTTCAGATTCTGAGATCGAACTTGTTCAAACGGGTAAAGACAACATTAACCGGAAATGCGAATCCTTGTCCCAGCCTGTGGATGATGAATATAAACCAGTTGTGTAAGTTGTAGTAGCAGATTTAAGGTAAAGATAGACTGTATGCTACTATTATCAACTATACAAAAAAGAACTAGATATATTCATGGAGGATAAGTCCATCAATCGCTATTAGTCAGGATGGCCAGGGATGGCGTTCTTAACCTTTGTTTGCCAGAAACTGGGAGTGGAGGTGAGAGGATAGATAACTTGCTGATCACTTGTTCTGTTCATTCCCTTTGAAGCACATAGGATTGGCCACTGTCAGAAGACACGATACTAAGCTAGATGAAAAATTGGTCTGAGTCAATATGGTCGTTCTTATCCCATAGCAATACCCACAGTGAAGCTTGAGTTTGTTCAACCAAGCACCCTTTCTCAAGCTGTCTACACTGGGAAGTTTTGGTGACAAAAGTGCTGTTGACATGCAAAAGTCAGCAGAAGTGAAAACTGGTCAAACTGATTTTTCTGCCTCCCATTGTTGATTTTTCATGGCCACATTACTAGCTCCCCTGCATTATAAGTCAGCTTATATCGACCTAACCATCAAAGTGTCTGTGCTTAAATTTCACTCCCACCAATGTAGTAACTCCATGATGTACAGAAAAACGCCAAAAGTCAGATCTGAATTCTGTTTCCTGCCTGCAGTGCAGCCCTTGAAAATCTTTCTCCCCCTGATTACCTCTCCATAAAGTGGTACAAATCTGTATTTACCTCATGAGAGGTTTATTGTGAGGCTTCATAAAGCACTTTGAGATTCTCAGATAGTCAGCTCTTTAAAATATTTTGAATGGAATCTCTCCTGCATACTGTTTCTCAAAACACTGGGGTCAGACAGTAAATCAGGAGCTGTGGGCTAGGCAGTGACTGCATGTGTACGTTTTCAGTCAGGAAATGAAAGGTGGTGGAAACCTACAGGAAGGAGGATGGCTGTCCCAAACTGCAGAAGCTGTAGGAGAGGAGGCTTTTGCAGCAACATGGTCGAAACTGTGTGGAGGGTCAGAGAAGGGAGTAGAGAGAGAAAGTCTTTGAGGTAGGCTGGAGCAAATCATGAGTGGTGAAACCTACTCCTAATTGTAATTAATCATGGCTAATCACTGACAACTATAATTTATGCCAATTTTTTCTAATATTATACATAATATAAGGTACAGGAAACACCATTTTAAGCTACATTTACTGCACCACTATGTTCCGTTTTTTTTATGTATAAAAAATAAGCCATCAGACTAAGGATCATGAGAGAATGTTATTGTGATTGGCACAGGAGTCATGACTGCAGGTTGTTTTGTAAAAGACAACTAGATTGTAATCCACGTATAGTTTGGATCTCCCTGGTTGGGCACCCTCGGAACCTGAATGGTCCTGAATGAGGACATTTCCCGGATCAGAGTTGGCCCTCTGCCACTGGCCCTTTAACCCGCCGGCCCCAGCTGGCCCCCTGTTGCCAGCCCCACTGCCAGGGGATTGCATTGTCCCGGGCCCCACTGCTGGGGGCTGCCTCAACCGCAGCCCTGGCCCCACTGCGGTCAGCCCCGCTGAGCTCCCAACCTAACAGGGCTCCCAGCTTCCAGACCTCCTGCCACTTGGCTCCCAAGACAGGGGCTTTCTGGTCCACGAACATCCGTGGTCCTGCCAGACCATAGATATTGATGGACTAGAATATCCCAGTTTAGGGAGGTGCAACCTGTACTAATGTTACTGTATAAGTTATATCACGTCAGCTTCTGAACTTAATGTACGTTTTTCATTCTTAAAGAAATCTAATAGGATAATATTTGTTTGCCTCTGTCTGTAAAACAGGAAAAATCATGACCTCTGTATGAGGAGTAGGGTTATATTTTTTAGATAGTAAGATTTCTGGAGCAGGGGCTGTCATTTATACTATGATCCTAGAGGTGACTAGCACTAGATGGCTTAATTCTGGCTGATGCCTGCAGATGGTACTGAAACATGAATGGCTTATAATATTAAACCAAAGATGACTGAATAAAAAGTTTAATTTCTAGGTGTGATTGCCTTTCTTCCTACCTTTCCATGCTGCTAAGGGAGTGTGCAAGGGTGCTGCACTCACTGTTAGATTGGTGCCGTCTCCTGGTCACTCTGGGGAATAGCGCATGAGGTTAGCACCCCTTTTTGCAATTGCTAGCCATCCCTCTATCTTTCTGCCAGCCTGTGGCCTTTCTCTTGCTCCACTAGCTGCTGTTGCCTCTTTGTGACTTCACACTATGGCACAGTCACCAATTGATTCCCCTTCTAGGGTTGGAAAATCTTTCTTTGCCAGCAGTCCTTGGTAATCTTCCTATTTACTGCCTCATCGTGTTTCTCCCTCGGTAGCTGACAGGGGATCCAGGCACACCTCCTACTCCAGGTTCCAGTTCAGGGACCCTCTAATCAGCAGCCAGAGTCTGTTCCCTTCTATACCTTTCTGCCTTGCCCTGAGCCCTGTTCTACCTTCCTGGCCTTCCCCCTTCTCTGGTTTTGCCATCTTAAATACACCTCCCCTTCTGTCAGGGAGTGACTGCAAACTTTCTCACCATCCCCCTTATATTGCCAGTTCCCAGCCTTTATAGCCCCAGCCCAGCTCTTTCATCCTCAACTGGACTCCCTCAGGGGATTACTTGGGCCACCTTATTCCTCTCAGCCATGACCTGTATGGTAATTAGCTCTTTTCTGGACAAGCGTGGGGTGAACGCCCTTATGCTTTGCAGGATTTTGATTGTATTAGTGGTGTGTTTACAGTCTCTTTCCAGGCAAATTGTGCCTTCCAATTTGAGGTATTAACCGATGTAGCAGATGCTCTTAGTTCAGTGATGAACATGGTGCAAAAACCTGGATGGATTAATAGAATTATAGCACTTGGTAGGAATATTAAGGAAGAACTGATTCAGGGTTGGTTTTTTTTAATGTTTGGGGAATATACAAGCAACTCTCAGTCTCCTTTAGTAATAAAGAATGAGAAGCATCTGATAGATCAACTTCTAAGAATATCAGTGAAGACAAATCCTGCGATCTCTCCTAGGGCAAAACCGCCACAAGATTTTTACTGAGTACTGTATTGACTGCAGGCTTTGGCTGTTCTTTATAAACTGGAAAATATTAGCGAAATAGGTGTTGCAAGAGTTCTTTTATCAGTCTCTAGTGTTGTATAAAATCCTTTTGCCATCTCTGTGCAGGGTTCAGAACTATGGCTATAATCCAAGGAATCTGAGAAGCCCAGCCATTAGGCCTAAAACCAGAACAACTATTCTTCAGACTCGTCGTATAAAACTGGTAAAAATACAAAATCACAGATTGTATTCAGAATTGTACATATTCAGTGAAGTGGGAAGGCAGTTATTTATAGCCTTATATCAGTATTCATGGCAAGATTTTCTAAACAGCCTTTCTTAATTACATCTGTCATGGGACTTCTGTGATACAGCCTTGCCTACTGCTGGCACTGGCCCTGTTCCCCATCTCCCCACGAGCATGTGCACAGTATGTGCTCCTCGAGCTGTCTCTGAGACTAGCACTATGTACTCCCATAGCCTCCTCACTTCCCTTCCCTGGACATGCATGCAGCCTCCAGGACTGTCTCCAGAAAACAACCATCCCTGGAATTGTAAGCAACTATCTCTTCACCCTGCACCTGCAACCTCTTCTATGACCCTCATAACTAATGAAATAGGAGATGAAAAGATAAACACTGTTGAGAGCCAAACTCAAAAGTTGCAACATCTTTTGCTGCACTAGTGGTCAGAATCTTATGGTTTTTTGTTACTGCACAGACTGGAAAATTTGATCTGCCACATGATCTAGTATGGAGAGGCAGGAAGTACCTGCAAAGGATATGTGCACAAGTGCTAATCGCACTTGAGGTGGCCATGCTAGGATCAGTAGATGATAGCTTCACAACTGATTCAGGCAACAAGGATGAGCTTCATACCAGGAACAGACAGTACTGGATATCCCCTGATTAGTCACTGGTTTGTAGTGAAAGTGGGGGGAGGGGAATCTTGCTGACCCAGTCCATTTCAGTTAGCTCCACATATAGAGCTAGCTTAGGCCCTGATTCAGGAAAACACTTAGGGCACATCTAGACTACATTCTTCTTTCGAAAGAGGAATGTAAATTAGGCAAATCGAAAGTGCAGATGAAGGATGGAGTTAAATATTCTGTGCTTCATGTGCATATTCGTGTCTGAGTCCTTTTTTGAAAAAGGGTTTTTTGAAAGTGAAAGCGCAGTCTAGACGGGGTTCTTTTGAAAAAAAAACCCAACCCTTTTTCGAAAGAACCCATACTCATTTTTTCAGGAGTTCTTTTGAAAAAGGGTTTTTTCCCCCAAAAGAACCCCGTCTAGACTGCGCTTTCACTTTCAAAAAACCCTTTTTCAAAAAAGGACTCAGACACTCGAAGATGAATATGCAAATGAAGCACGGGATATTTAAATCCGCGCTTCATTTGCACTTTCTATTTGCCTAATTTACATTCCTCTTTCGAAAGAAGAATGTAGTCTAGATGTGCCCTAAGTGTTTTCCTGAATCAGGGCCTAAGCTAGCTCTATATGTGGAGCTAACTGAAATGGACTGGGTCAGCAAGATTCCCCTCCCCCCACTTTCACTACAAACCCGGTTTTTTTGACAGCAGTAAAGCTCATTTTACAAGGAAGAACGCCTTTTTTCAAAAGAGCTCTTTCAAAAAGTGTTCTTGACCGCAAACAGGGCTTTTTCAGAAGAGAGCATCCAGATTGCTTAGGTGCTCTCTGTCAAAAAAGCAGATCGCTTTTTTTGAAAAAGTTGTGGCTGTCTAGACGATCTCTTTCAAAAGAAGCTTTTTTGAAAGAGACTTATAGTCTTGACATACCCTTAGACATGTATTTACGCATGTGTTTAAACCGTATTGATATCAGTGGAAGTTAAAGTGAAACCATGCTTAAGTGTTTTGCTGAATTGGGGCCTAAGTTCTTGGAGGCTTCTCTGGATAATTCTGAATTATGATGTCTAAACTTGGAATTTGACCTGTTGAAACTCAGTCAAACAACATAGTATAGTATATTTGAAACTTAAAGCCAGTTGTCTTTGGCTCTTGGTGCAGAGTTATATAAAACATAGCGCCTCACAACCTTATTTCTTTTAAGGGAGTTGCTACACTGGTGCAGGATGCCAGCTCGGATGAAGATAATAGTTCTCAGTCCCAGCAGTCAACCAAAATGAAACTAACAACTGGAACCAAAAAAGGAAAGGAAAGTAGGTTTGCGGAGCTATAAATATGACACTGGTTAGCACACTTGTGCCCAGTCAGGTGATACGACTGCACTGTAGGAAATGATCTTAGAATGTGTGCAAATTTGTTCAAATACCATCTCTTTGATTACAGTGGCATTATGCATATAACACTTAGTATGCCCTACCAAAGCCTTAGCAGCACTCAGATTATTACTTCTTATACCATAAATGTGGATAGTACTTAAGGACTAAGAATTTCAAGAGAAATACAAGTTCCCTGCTCTAAGTAGCCTACAGAATAATGGCCTGATCCTGTAAGATCTGAGCACTCCTGAAAAGGTGGTAAGCACCTTGTACTTTTGCTGTCTTCAGTGGAATTTTGTGGGGTAAGGGGCAGAATTGGACTATTTATTAGGCACGACACAACAATGGTTAGCAATAAATAGAGGGGTATGGAGATGTGGGAGAAAGAAGGGCACAACTAGAAAAGATCCTGAGAAACATTTGCTGTTGAATACGCATCTTGTTAACACCATATTAAAATTTGGGATGCTGTGCTGAATGCAGGTGGGCAATAAAATACCAGCTGGAAGAAATGAGTTCTGAGAGAGGATTTGAAAAAGCGGTGTGGGGAGGAGAAACTGGACCATGCAGAGGGCTTAAAGGACTGTTCTGTAGGCACTGAGAGGGGGAGCGTAGGCACTTTTGGGAAATGACTGGGGAAGCAAAAAATTGAGCTGAATTTATCAATGCAAAGCATTAGTAGGGCTTTAAGGAATCCATAGAAGTGAGGTATGGAGAGGGGCAGAGCTGTGCTACTCATCTAAAAGTGACAAGAAATCATTTGAGACCCATACAAACCAGAGGAAATAAGTTCAGGAGTGGATGGGTATTTAGAGTTAAGTAAGCCAAACACATTTAAGTTTGCAGTGTTGCCTTTAGTATCATTGCTGAGTCATTTCAAATAACTTATTCTTTTAATCTCTTGAAATTTCTTTTGACAGAATCCAACCCGGAGCAAAAGCTAGGAGAACCAGAGGAGGCCATGCAGACTGAGCCAATGATCACAGATAATGCAGAAGCTAAAGAAAAAAGACCATCTCCACAAGATGCTAGGTGTGGTAAATCAGCACATGCTACAAAACCGTCCATAAGCCTACCACAAAGAGATATCTTCAAAGAGGAAAAAATTAGGAGGACCAAAGAAGATTCTATTTGTAATATGGAGACAGAAGGTGATGACACACAGATGAAGAATTCTAAGGAAGAAAATATTTTTTTATTGGATGCCACAAAAGAAGGAAATGTGGGCCGATTTCTTAATGTAAGTAAAAATGGTAAATGTGTGCTATTCGATCACTTCATTTTTTTTTTTAAATTGCTTATTTACTCAAACAGAAGGTATTAATGAGTTTTGCAAAATTCTCTCCTCAAGTTGAGTAGTCTTTGTTTTTATTTTCGGACAGGAAATCAAATAGATGATTGGGGTTCTCTATTTCTTTGCTGAATAGAATTGCCACTGGGTGCTATGCTGGATCAGGGTGTGTGGGCTGGCGGCTTGATGAAATTCCAGATCTCCTTTCAGCCCCCTCTGTTTTCCAAATCCATTTTAAATTGTGGTGTGTGTCAATACAGGGGTATTTTACATAACACACTGAAATTTCCAACCTTACTCCTGATCTATACAGATGGGGAGACTGTCTACTACAGATTCCTTCGCAGGTTTCACACTCAACCTAGCACATGGTAAGAGGGGACTCTGGCTGTTCTAGGCAATGATGTATAGTTAACCACATTGTCCAGGCATACCCAATAAATCTGCTAATTGGTTTAATAATTTTTAAAATGCTCCCAGTGATAAGAGTACTAGAAGTTCTCTTCTGCACAGGCATAGCACTTGCTTTGTTTTCCCGATGAGCATTAGTAGGTATGTCAAGCTGAAATCCGCAAAAACATTGAAATGATGCTCCTTAATATAGAACAGGGAGAATGATAACCTTTCTATCCATGTGCACACACACATGTGTGTCTGTACATGTGCTTAACTTGTCTTGGCAGAATTTGAACTTTTTTTTGTAATTTTGATATGAATTACTATTTAAGCGGTTTTTTTTTTTCATTTTAACTATTTTAATTTCCAGTTATGAGAAATTAAGGGGAGGTTGGGGTTAATGCAGCACAGATAGCAGGACTGCAGCGGCTTCCTGAGTAACTGAAGGCTCTGAGGCACCTAGGCACAAGGTATGGGAGAAGACTGTAGTCCTGGGCTTGGCCGAGCTCCGAGGGCTATGAGGAGTAGGATGAGATCACCACCACCACCACTACTGAGTGGCTCCTGGCCAGGAACAGCCCCTGTACTTCAGGCCAGCAAGTGAATGGAACCATGACAGCAAAGCTGCAGAGGTCTCCCTGCACAGTTTCAGGGCCATTGAGACCTGATCTTTGTAAGTGCAAGCTGCAGTCCTGTTGGGGCAGAACAAAATCCCCAGGCCACCCCAATACTGAATGGTTCTTGCAGGATGATGACCCTGTACTCCAGGCCATGACAATAGAGCTGCAGAGGGCTCCCTGCATGGCCATCAATGACACTGGATCCCTGCAGGCACAGATCATGGGAGAGGCTGCCATTGACAAATGTTTTTTCAGTCCATTTATTTGTTAGGTGAAATCAATATTTAGTAGTACCTACCTATGTAAATCGAATCCTGCCAACCCTATATAACTGTAAGCACCTGTCACCTCCACATGGCAGTTTTCAAATGAAAGCCAGCTCCCCACGCATATCAACTCCCACCTGCCCCCCTCGCCCTCTGCATTGCTGCCTCTGTATCAGAAGCAGCAGTGCAGGAGACGCGGGTAGGCAGGTGAATCTGGTGCTCATGGGAAGCTGCCTTTTAAGACATCTCCTTGCGGGCACTGGCTCCCACACCTCCACCCCCCCACTTGCTGTCTCTGATACAGAGGCAGTGGGAGGGGGAATGCTTGTAGTTGACAAGATTAACCAATAAGCCCAGGCTATTGGTTAATCGTGTAATTGTCTACAGGTTGACCGTGGTGATTTCTGTTCGTGTGTCAAGTGGAGAGAGAAATCTCACCATAAATGATTGAAGTGCAGATTGACCAAAGAACTTGATTTTTCAAGACCAAATTGTTATTTTAGAAGTGCTGGAGATAATCCTTCCCTCGCAATGACCTAATTATAACAAAAATTGGTGCATGCTAAATATGGATGGTGAAAGAGTGGCAGGAGGAATATATTTTCTCTTTTATTAAGCATGTTACAAATGTTTTTTTGGGGGGAACGCGTATAAATATTCTACAGCCAGAGACTGATCATTCCTTTTGATTAATTTTAAATCAATTTTGTTTCACAGCATAGCTGCTGTCCAAATCTCTTTGTACAGAGTGTCTTTGTAGAGACACACAACAGAAATTTTCCTTGGGTGGCGTTCTTCACAAACAGGTTGGAACTATCTTTTTCTAATGTTCATTCAAAACAAAAACTGTTAGAAAAAAATCACATTATTTTCCAATAGACGAAGTGTCCCGATGAGGGAAAAAAACACATTCTTATTGGTGATCTCATCAGAGATGAAGGTCTGAGTGGGTAAGGGAACTAAAACCACATTCTTACCACAAGAGAGCTTTTCTGCAGAGCTTTTCCTGGGGAATGCTTGTCCTACGGCTTCCAATGCTATATTTTTTCTGTGGAAATATGGGACTTATTTTCAGAAGTGTCAGTGGCAACCATTCATGAGAATTCTATTCACCACACAAAAAATAATTGTTCTTTTTAATATGTTCTGCTAGGGTTGGCTCAGAGAGACAGCATGAGGAGCTTGTTGCTACCCTATGTCTTGCAACCCTTAAAATCAGTCCAAAGAGTTAATATGGTTTCATTAAAATCTATCCTCCAAGAGTTCTTGCAGGTCATAAATGCTATGTCTACACAGCAAAGACAAATACAGAACAGGCCTGTGCCAGTTGATTCAGACTTGCAGGGCTCAGGCCGTGAAGCTGTTTGATAGAATCACAGAATCAGAATACTTGAACTGGAAGGGTCCTTGAGAGGTCATACAGTCTAGTCCCCTGCCCTCATGGCAGGACCAAGTACCATCTAGATCACCCTGTATAGATGTTTCTCTAATCTGCTCTTAAATATATCCAATGATGGAGATTCCACAGTTCCCTAGGCAATTTATTCCATGACAGGAAGTTTTTCATAATGCCCAACCTAAACCTCCCTTGCTGCAATTTAAATCCATTGCTTCTTGTCCTATCATCAAAGGCCAAGGAGAACAATTTTCTCCCTCCTCCTTGTAACACCCTTTTAGGTATTTGAAACCTGCTATCATGTTCCCTCTCAATCTTCTCTTTTCTAAACTAAACAAACCCAATTATTTCAGTCTTCCCTCACATGTCATATTTTCTAGACCTGTAATCATTTTTGGTGCTCTTATTTGGGCCCTCTCCAATTTCTCCACATCTTGAAATGTGGTGCCCAGAACTGGAGACAATACTCCAGTTGAGGCCTAATCAGGGCAGAGTACAGTGGAAGAATGACTTCTTGTGTCTTTCTCACAAAACTCCTGTTAATGCATCCCAGAATCATATTTGCTTTTTATGAACCAACAGTGTGATGCTGTTTCAAATTTAGCTTGTGGTCCACTATGACCCCTAGATCCCTTTCTGCAGTACTTCTTCATAGACAGTCGCTTTCCATTCTATGTGTGTGAAACTGATTGTTCCTTCCTAAGTAGAGTACTTTGTATTTGTCCTTATTAAACTTCATCCTATTTATCTCAGACCATTTCTCCAGTTTGTCTGGATCGTTTTGAATTATGACCCTATCTTCCAAATCACTTGCAACCTCTCCCAGCTTGGTATTGTTACTCCAATAATATTCTCACTGGAGACCACCCAGGGTTACACTAGTATGGGTTTATTGTTTGAGGAATTAGCACTCCACTATTTGCACTACAAAACTAGAACTGCCACTAAAGGTATAAACTAAAGAAGATAGAGTTGCCACCAAGATTTAAACTAAAGAAGATACAGAGCTCTCTCTCTCTCACTCACACACTCACACACTCACACACACACACACCTCCATTCATCATATGGGTTACACACACACACACACACACACACACACACACCTCCATTCATCATATGGGTTACACACACACACACACACACACACACACACACCTCCATTCATCATATGGGTTACACACACACACACACACACACACACACACACCTCCATTCATCATATGGGTTGCAGAAGGAGCCAAGGCATGTAGCTCATGGGGGTCTGTCTGCTCATCATGGCTTGGGAAGCTGGTCAGAAGGAGAGACACTGGCTTTAGAAAGGAATTTCTCAGGAGCAGGGAAAGAAAGAGAAGAAAGTCTCACATGTGTTCCCTCTCTTTATATAGTGTCTGAATGGCTCCTGTGACTCATTTACCACATCATCTGGGTGCATGCCCAGACTTCCCTTTATCCAGCAAAAGCAGCACTCTGTGATAACTCATCACCATGTGCTCATTGTTCCCAGTCTTCTTCAAACACTCTCACACTCACACTCGGGAGAATTCACTTTAGAGCAAGTTAAAAGCAAAGTAGCTGAGAGTGAGAAAGTTGCAGCTTACAGTAAGTTTCTGAGAGTTACAAGGATTACAAAGTTTGACAAAGATCACAATGAGTTGCAAGGTTTGACAAAAATCACAATGAGTTGCAGTTTAAAGCCTCAGACCTTAAAGTTTAGTGTAGTTTCAGAAAATGCATGTGTATAAATCAAGTAAGCTCAGGAGGAGGCTTTTTTTATGCAACAGGTATCATCTGCAGACTTAATAAGCGTACTCTCTATGCCAATATCTAAATCGTTGATGAAGATATTGAACAGAACTGGTCCCAAAACTGACCCCCTGCAGAACCCCACTTATTATGCCCTTCCAGCATGACTGTGAAACATTAATAACTACTCTCTGAGACTGGTTATCCAGCCAATTATGCACCCACCTTATAGTAACCCCATCTAAGTTGTATTTCTTAAGAACAGCCATACTGGGTCAGACCAAAAGTCCATCCAGCCCAGTATCCTGTCTTCCAACACTAGCCAATGCCCCCAAAGGAGTATACAGAACAGGGAATCAACAAATGATCCCTCTCCTGTCATCCAATTCTAGCCTCTGGCAAACAGAGGCCAGAGACACCATTCCTACCTATCCTGGCTAATAGCCATCGATGGACCTAACCTCCATGAATTTATCTAGTTAACCCTGTTAAAGTCCTGGTATTCACAACATCGGTTTCCCTAGT